CGCACGTTACAATAAGTAGCGATAATAATAATAATAATAATAATAATAATAATAATAATAATAATAATAATAATAACAATAATAATATTTGACATTTCTACAAAATATGATAATCTTGAAATATGATATTTCTTGAATGCTTTCTTTAAAAGTGACTAATGTTAAATAATCCAAAATATCACAACAGCAACTGTATACGAAGGTAGCAGTAATAAAAGAGCCCTTTAATGTGATCTTAAAATACCATCTTCTTTTATATTCACTCCAGTTTCATAGTAATTTCTGAATACTATAGCATACCAAACCCTAATATTCTTCGTATATACCTAAATTGGTCAAATCATAATTAAACTGCCTGGTGCACTTCTGGGAGTGAAAATAAATTTATCAATTTTCGAAGACATCAAAGGACGTTCATAACGTAATTACAACATTTAAAAGTTATACATAAAACGACATGCTCATAACAATATAAGAAGATGAGATGAAGTATTTGTTATGTCGGTTGGCGTAGAAATAAATGGATACTGCTCAGGTATTCTGGCTTTAACAATGAAGATTCACCAGAGGTTCCCAACCTACAGTCTAGATATACGGAACTTGTCTTATCCTACTCCGTATCCCTATCCGGTATACGTACAAATACGCGGATTAATACAGGTAGTTTACAAAAAGTTATGTAATGCTGCGGAAAAACTATTTACAGATTTCCTCGAAAGTACATGCTTTGGGACCTATAATTCCTAAAGAGGACTTTTTTCAATAAGTCCGCCGGTTTTTCTGACCCGGTCCGTCTCCGATTGATCTGGTCCGGGTAAAAGATTTTGAAAATAATTCTTTAAATGTTGGGAATACTTTTTTCTTCAAATAAAGTTTAAGATTTTTTTTCTTGTAATACATATTTCTCTCCACAACTTTGTTTAATTTCACGTACATTTAAAAAATTGTTCGTTTTGTGTAATGTTTAGTAAAATGGCATATTAACACAAAAGTTTCTTCGAAGTTTAGTAGAGCTTCTGCTCCTCCCACACTCTTAATATAGTAGTTCGCGAACAAATGCATTTGTGGTCGGCCGGTGTTACGTGACAAAGTAAAACGTTCAAATTTATAAGTATGAGAAAGATGTACGTAAGCATACAATAATTCGTATGTTTGCAATAATTCGGGTGCGGGCGTGTGAGCACGTCTTAATCGGAGTAATTGGAGATCTATTCTCCCCTTTCTAATCACATCAGAACGTTTTGCAGCTCTGACATCAACCAGCAATGTCTTTCCTGGTCATCCACCTACACTTATAACATGAGACGTAGGTGTAAAGTGATGTGCAATTTGAATTCTCGGCAACGAAGTAGTTCCACGTTTCGTTAAAATCGTGATTCCAACTGGTTGGGTTTCCTAGAATTCTGTTAGTGGCGGGTCCGGGGTGGGTAAACGCAGCTGCGGCAGCGGAAGCGGCGCTGGCCCTGCAATGATCTTATTTGTTCCCGCAAACCGATGTGGGTGTGCTTGATATTAGTCCGTTACTGGTCGTTTCTTCAGAAAACATTTAACTACTCACCTCGTGGATTAATGTACATTGTATCATCCACAACGTGAACTAATGTAAATTGTACTCTCTCCCACGTGAAGTAATGTAAATTACATTCTCCACCACGTGAACTAATGTAAATTACATTCTCCACCACGTGAACTAATGTAAATCACATTCTCCACCTCGTGGATTAATGTAAATTGTACACTCCACCCAGTAAACGGATGTAAATTGTACTCTCCAGCACGTTGAGAAAGATACTGAAGACGGTAGGTGTAGCGCAAATCCCAAGTCCTCTGTCATTGTGAGATATTACGAGCGTATCGAATGTAAGATGACTATGAGATATTCCTGGCCACCGCTTGGCCCACTCAGCTTCCAAAAGCTGGCGGTGACCACCTTTCACCCGTTGTAGGTGGATGAGTTGGTGTGGCAGCCGCCTAAAGTGATAGTATCTTTCCTGTTTCGCTTGCATGGAGAGGATTCACAATCGCGATTGATTGAAGCCCAAAGATTATTTCTAGTATCATACTTTTATACTTTGTATGCACCACTGAATAAATTTATGCAAACTTCAGAACATTACGCTGAAAATGAAGTTCATTGAGTGGAAATGTTTAGTTTATGATTTTGTTTATGTTTTTATTTTTTAGATTATATTTATGATTTTTTGAGATATTTAGTAAGAAATCAAGTCATGTTTGAAATACTTTTTTTGAATTACGAAATATTTAAAAATAAGCATAGTGTTTAAGTGAGAAAAACTGTCATCATTAGGTCTCAAAATCCCTATATTACTAACGCAGTGAATTACATGTACTTAAGGGTATTACACCATATTAAACTTTTCTGCAGTTGATCAGATGAATCGAATGGCACCACTCTCAAAAAATGTGTTTACCCCTGATATAAAGAAAAGGATAATGGCTCTTGGTGGGCAAATGGAGACGGCACTAGCATAACTCTTTGCGGAGCACATTAAGATCTTAACGACCCGGTATTAAAGTCGAGAGGAAAGAAAATAACTTTTTGGCGTTCTCCAGAGGTCGTTCTTTTTAGTCGTTTAATTAAAATCATTTATATTGTCCGCTAAAATTGTGATAAATATTTTTGGAATAGAAAATAACTTAAAGAAGTACATTAATGAACAAATGGCCCTGATAAAATGCGGATTTGTTTTATTCCGATATTGTGATATTATTCCGATATTACGAGTCGAATCGTCACTTAATATTTAACACCAGGTTGTTTGACTTTTGTGACATACATTTTCAATGCAACGAACAGAGAAAAGAATCAATAGGGAATAGGTTTACAAGGATTACTCTGAGAAAACACATACCAACACTTCATTTGTAAATTTGTAAATACTTTCTGTTACAGATACAAGACCTGGGATATGGCCAAAGTATTCTAAGCTCACAGAACATTACTTACGATTTCGGATACGTTAACTTTTATCTCAACTAGTCTGATATTCTTATATAAGAAAGGATAAATGCTACATTCTCTTGAAAATCAAACTAAATGTCCTCAACAACACATACTTTCTCGCATTATTTGTAACTTTTCCATTTATTAAAATTCTGAGTGTTCATCTAAAATAAAATTGTACCGTTTTGTAAGCGTAATAGAAAAGAATAAGAAACTTTCGAGCTCTTCTAAGAAAATATTTCTGAAAAAGTGCTTCTGCAACAAACAAAAATTGTAAGCGAGTGTATTTAAGGATATATTTTTTTACAATAGATTTATTTAAAGAAAAAATCTTATCTTTAATATTGTAGTTGTAGGATGACACCGAAAAAATTTAAAACGTTTACAATTATCAAAAGTAGAACGAAATGATATCTCAGCAATTTTTTAAAGCGTACTTTCCTTTTTTAAAAACCAGTACTTAAATTGACAGCTATTTTTAAAAACATTTTGAAAATGTTAATTCTTCTTGTAAAGTATAAACGCGCAAATATAAAATATCCTTTTCAAATACTCAGGGCTATTCGGCCAAATCTATCAAAGAGTATACATTTTCGAAAATATCATCTGAACGTCTTAGGCGGTAGTGTTTACCCCAGATGGACAGACGCACATACATTTAAGGCGTTATCTTGCAACTACAATATTGAAGACATTGAGGACGCTGCTCGTAGACATTTTGGCATTTGTTGGCATAAACATTCCAAGAAGAAATTAATTCAAATTTGGCTCCGTATTTGGAATTCAATCATTTATAACAATTCTTTGGCGCTAATTAACAGTGAAGAACATACATTTTTAAAGTTGCCGCGTCAGAGACAGTTAATTCAGCCCCCCCAAATCGCCGGCTACATTCCAGAGAACAGGAATTAATTTATCGTTATGAGATTGGAGCAAATTTTTGAACTGATTTCAAAGATGCTCGGAAGATTGTTGCAAGTTCTCTGAATCTGATTCTTTTTCACAGAAGACGCGACGGGATCGCATTGTTTTTAGAACCAGGAGCCGAGCAGATTCTTGACGGCCCGCCTCGCTCGTGTGAAGAAGCTACGCAATACACGTATTGGCTGCATTGAATGTTGGAATTCTACGCTTGTAAGCGTTCCTACCACGGTAATGCAGTCTCTGTGAATCAGTGCTTTGAAACAGCAAAGAGTCATGGTTGCGCATACGCATGAATAACGAAAGGAATTTGTGAGAACGTTTACTTTCGGCCAGACAAAGGCAACTCTGACAATGTCTTCAATGCTTAATTATCCTCACGCCGAGGTACTATGTGTCTTCATTATTTATCGTTTTCGTAACCTTTCCTTGTCAAAGGATTAGAAAAACGTGTATCAGTTACTGCTGCACGATATCACCAAAAGCATTCACAATTATGTTTTATATGCTTTGAATGTTAACACTTAAGTAAATGAAAATGATGAAAGATCGGGAAATCACAAATCATCATAAGAAACAAAATAAAAAGCAATTAATGATGCCAGAAGTGGGAATGCTTCAGTGGGGCGAATTAGGCACAAACTGTAGAACCTATCAAACTGTTTTATTTATGATCGGGCCAGGCCTTCAGAGGGGAATACTTGATAAGTTGGTAAAGAGTGAAATGAAGCTCCGATGCGCTTATCGACGTGTGTTAGAAAAGGAAGAAAAATAATGTAATGATAACAAGAAGTAAAATATCTAAATAATTCGGGACAAGATATTGTACTATCCCATTTTCTAATCGCATCCCTTCTTCCTAGTCCCATCACATTTACGTAGCACATCACATTGTGAAACACAATGAGAGATATAATTCACAATTTAAAGAATATGAAACAATTTTCGTTAACAAACGTTCGAATGATTTTTTTTAGTGGTTTGTAGGTTTTGCAAGAGCAAGGACATCAGGAAGGCTAAATCACAAGTCGGTATTGCATTAAATGTTTTTATTGATTTATTGTTGAGAGACGTGTAGGGTCTGGGAAGCCCGCGCTCTGATCGGGTGAGCCGTTCAGAGGGGGATGCCAGAGTTGGAGGAGATCCAGTCGGCGAAGGAGGTGACGCGGGCGTAGGCGCTGGGGGCGCCGCTGGCGCAACCAGCGGAGGAGCCGAAGCTCACGATGCCGATCTGCTTGCCGCTGGCCTGGTCGATCAGGGGGCCGCCGCTGTCGCCCTGCGGAACGCCAACAAACACATCAGGGAACGTTGCACATACTATGACTGTCTGCACCTCCGCGGAACAATCTGGGATTTCAACATTGAATTGTTTGGAGTGTGAAACACTGAACGTACACTGAAATCCAGCTTCGAATAACTTAAACTGATCCCCGGTCTATCATTTACTTTACTTTAACTGAACTTTAACTGAACATCATAACTTTACACTGAAACCCAGCTTCGAACAACAAAAACTGGTCCCTGTATTATCAATTACATCCCTTAAATAATATAGTCACGGTATTGAATGTGGATAAACACTTTACTGTTGTTCAGCATTTACGAGTAACAGACTTAGATCAGGGCAGTTAAATAGCGCAGTTAAATAAGGATATCAGATCTTCAAACTATTCGGAATTCAGCACGTGTCTAACTATGCAGGCTGTAGAATGGAGCACTTAGAAACTCGTAAAAGGTAATAGAATATTCGGAAGTGTCTCGTCATGTATATTACGATCTAATGATCATAAACCAAAGGGGCTCGAAGACATAACGACTGATTTTCAAGGACCTCTTTCGAGTTATGTACGATCTGTAGCAAAAAAACACTATACATGCTCCTTGCCCTGACCCTTGTGGCGCATCTGGTATTGATTGGGCTACAGTGGGATTTAGTGACCTTGGACAAGAGGAACGCTACCTCCCAATTCCTCGCTCACTATCCATTTATAAAAAAAACATTTTATTGATATTGTGACTACGTTATTTACTGACATGAATCTTTGGAACCAGCCGTTCCACAAGGCTATGTATCGTGCAAAAGATCCGGCTAAGCGCAAAGTAAAATTTCGTTAGACTATTGGACTGAGAAAATTAGCACGAAAGAAGAAACTTTCCTGACACGATTTAATTATTTAGTTTACGCCAAAAAGAGTTAAAACTGCTATGACGAGCTACGAGGAGAAGTGCATAATGTGAACGTTTTCTTATTTCTCATATACCTACCCTGAGCCATATACATGCTGAATTTTGAATATAGAAAGAAACGCGCATCACTACGATGTAATATGTGTTGTCAAAGGCAAATGAGCTTGTAGATTTGGGTCACTTATTCCTCATAATGACCGTGAAGGACACTAAACTTTCTGCCGCGACATGGTGAATGATAATTTGAATAGCTATATTTCCGATGAACTCTAGAAGACGTGCACAGATAGTGTTGTAACAAGAGGAGATGTAGCTGTCCCGAAAGCAGCAACGGCGCCACTTACGTTGCAGGTGCTGCGACCCTCGGTGCCGCTGGCGCAGATGGTGGAGGAGCGCACGATGAGGGTGCCGTAGGTCTGAGCGCACACATTGTTGGCGATGATGGTCAGGTCAACGTAGTTCAGCTGGGGGCTCACGGAGTTGCTGGCTGCAAAGTGAACAATTTCGGGTATTATTTTTTGTCTCTTCAAAACTTAAGAAATATTTTTGGTATGCAGTTGGAATTTTGGGTCGATAGTCTGACTTTGCCGACCAGCTAACGGTTTCCCCCATACCGGGGCTTAGTTAGCTTCCTATGCTGGGGGATAAGAGTGACATGAGGGAATATGGCGTGTTCCCTTCACCGTAACTAGCAAGATCAACCGAGATTTTCTTTGTCACACAGCTACAGAAACTGGGACGATTTTAAAGGAAAGCTACAACTCCATTTTTGTCTCGACTGGGAATTGAACGCGGGACCACACCACACACGGAAAAAAAGATTCGTTGGAGCATATCAGATCCATGATACTGTAACAAGGAACGTTGTTACGGTATCATGGATCTGGTATACTCCAACGATTCTTGTTTTCGGTGCAGGAAGCTAGTACGCTACCCACGAGCAATACTGGAGAGAAATACTTTTTTGATGAGCTGAAATATTATGTGAAGTCGTAAATTACCATCAGAGGTCTTTCCCCAACCGCTCACACGGGAGGCAGAGCCTTCGAACAGGTTGGATCCAGTAGCCAGGGAGATGGTCTGGATGTAGTCTGAAACAAAAAGTGCACACGAACGTTAGTGACTCTCGCCGAGGACGCCTAGGTTTAAGAATGAATCAGCGTATCCTGCAGAAAAACCTTTGTAAGACGCACGAGACAATGCGAATGTATGGCATCAAAGAGTAAACGTTCTCTTGATTACCTATGTTAGATCAACAAACATAGACCGCGGAGACGGGATTGTTAGTTTGCCCCTCTGTGGTTTATCAGTTTGATTTTTAAATGCGAATGCTGGCCGAAACCAAGGGCTTCTCCTATTCAAAATTTCATGGTACGTATGTCATATGATTTTACGTCTTACGTTATTTTGTTTCCGCAGGGATTATTTGTAAGAGTTACTTAAAATTAAGTTGAACTTTCGTAATTTTATATATTTGTTAGACATCTTCCTACAGCAACAATTTTGAAGGAAGATATTATTTCTTTAATAAAATCTATTTTTCAAAAGATCTCCAAATAAGGTAACATGCAATATTTTTGAAAATATGAATAGTTTTTACCTATTTTTTGCTTAAAATGAACACATTTAAAAAATTTTACTGAAAATCGGCTATTAATTTTTATTCAAATTTTCTCGAAGACAGCAAAGTACACTTATCAAAACGATGCAGATCCTATTTTCGTTAAACACTCTGTATTTTCGAAAATTGCAAAAAAAATTTCCGCCTCTTCTCTCTACTATAACAATGAAGATCGAGATATTTCATCATAATGATACATTTCTTTGAAACTGGATCTTGATATACTTACTATGAAAGACTGCGAATCTTTGAAAATAGCAACTACGAATGTTACACTTAGTTTGTGAAGCGTCGGAAAGGTTGCAACTCTAAGAGAGATGATGCTGGAAAAACGTGAAAGGTATTCTAAAGCTAAGAACATGAGTTCAAATACTAGTGTGCAATAATTACTGCTTATAAACACATTTGAAGTTGCATGTTGTTATACTGCTTATCCGTTGCAAATATTGCCAGAAAGCAAGTGCGTCACTAAGTCTTAAATGTTTCATCCTCTTCAAGAATGGAAATTGTCTTCCGGGGGTCGTTGGCTGCGCAATATTCCAGTTCCCGGTAAACTGGTTTACTAACTCGTAATTTGTGCTACACTTTTCGTAAAACTTTATTTGTAAATAATTTATAAGTCTATGAAACGGCAGAAAGTGATTCAAATTACGGAAATAGTGAATTCTTATCTTTCAAAAGGAAACTTGATCAAACGGTTCCATTCAGATATTACTTTGATCGGAGATATCGGTTCTCATTTAATTGCCGTGATTGTACATTATATACTCACTGCTCAGGGGGACATCCTGGTTGAGGTTGACCAGAGCAACGTCGTTGGAGATGAGGAGGGAGCTGTAGTTGGGGTGGACGATCTTGGAGGTGGTCTCGATGATGACGCGGCCATCTTCGTTGGCAGCGTTCAGGTTCTGGGCGCCGAGGTACACAGTGAAGCTGTTGATTCTGTTCAGAAAACAATGTTTATGACGTAAATTATTTTGAAAGATATGTTAAGGTTTCATTGAGGTTGTTATTGCATTAATTTCCTCAAGTTGCCAAATTTTGTTTGCTGAATTGGTCATTTCTTTATGCATGCATCACAACGCTTTCTTGTCAGGGTCTTAACAATGAGTAACCAACGCCAATTATTACATAAACGTAAACCAACACCAAATGTCTATCCGGTAAAACGATTGAAATTTTATCTCAGTGTATTTTACAGTTACACATTCTTTTTCTTCCGATGGTCCAATAATTTTGCTCAGGGAATGTGTTCATTACATTATCTCTGTAGACTATCTAACAGTATAAGCGTTAGACAAACTGAAGAATTTCAGTAATATATTTTCGATCTACAATGGACATCCCATTTCAACCGTAATGAAACCTGATCTATAGACTACCATCAGCAACATAAAATATTGTACAAAACCGTGCACCTAAATCGATATACTAATTGTGTCAAGAAGACGAAACACAACTTCTTAATAATTTTTAATTTAATAAGTTCATTATTTTTTATATTAATTTCCTGTTATTGTTATGTAGATTTATTATTAATGCTAAGGGATATAAACAAAACATTATAAAACTCACTTTCTCTGTAATTTTACATTGCATTAAAAGAAAACATTCCAGAAGGAACTGTAATGTATTATACTGGTATTTGAATCTAATAATTATTCGCCATTCACTTGATTTGGTGGAATCTGAGTCGTATATTACGTGTTTTTTCGTCTTATTCGTTGTTTCAACAATTTCAATTGAGTTTGTTAATATAGTTATTCGTATACACTCAGTAGTCACTTTAAAAATCATGAGTACGTCTTGCCGGAGCAGATTTATTTTCATTTCAACGCACTTTTGCTTACCCGCACATGTTTTCTTGAACCATCGTTTCGCTAGTTGTGAGGAAAGTGGGGAGTTCAGTTATTTCCGCAAAAAAAGTTTCTACAAAATTTGTAGTTAATTTTTTCGATGCAAAATAGTGTCTATTACACGGCAGCAACCATTTCTGGTTATCAGGTTATGTCTACAACGCTCATTGCTATAATTTATTCTTAATTCAACTAATTTTGGAAAAGGAGTAGGGGTAGGTATTCTGGGCCTCATTAATATATATAAATATATCTTTATATTCATATTTCTTTATAAATAAATAGTTTTGACTGTAAGGATGTGTGAATTGCTTCGCAAGTAGAATACTGCTACCGCATCTAGTCGTTGCGAAATGCGTCTTTTGTGAAACACGTATGAGTTGCGTACTCACCCGGAGGCGCAGTGGGCGGCGGTGAGCACCCAGCGAGTGGAGATGAGGGAACCTCCGCAGAAGGAGCGGCCGTTCAGGTACAGAGCAGCCTGGTACGGGAACTGGCCACGGGAGGCCTGGATGCCGTTGATGATGCGAGCATCAGGGTATTTGGGGGCACCCTCTGAAAGTCACAGTAATAAATGTTTTTAAAGGACGAATGGTTCCTGTGATAATTTATTTAAAAAAATCAATCGCCTTATATTTTGTTATTTATATTTTCACAATTCAGGCGTTCCTCAAGCATCAAATCTAAATTCATTATTTTGTTTATTGTTTATTAATGAAAAAACAAAATGATTCAGTATTCTAAATGCATAATTAAGTCACTTGTTATTAAAAACAGTAATAATTCATAGAAAAGTGTTATTTGTAAACTTATTCTAATGTGAAACAATTGTTTTCAGAACTTATTTTTAATATATAACTGCATTAATTCTTTTGCAACGTACAACACTAAATAGTAATTGAGAGACTAATAATTGTCATATCTTACGGATTTCGTCGACAGTGAGGTGCACTCCAGTCACATCGCTGTGACGAATGGTCGAAGCCTGGAATTAAAACAATCAAATATTATATTTCACAGGGAACACAATTAATGGAAGATTATGTTATGTTTACTTTCTTTCACACGAATACTTTACCGTAAGACTACTCTAGTATTAAACAATTATTTTTTAACGTTACATTACGTTACATTACAACTGTAGTAATAGTCTTATATATGCTACCGTGAGTATAAACTATGAGTATGTACTTTGTAGTGAATTCTAACATACATTTTCATGGAATACTACTTTTAAAAATTGTGGTGATTCTCATTATCCTTGGCAATAACTAATTGAAAAGCTAGATTTCATTGTATTTTCGACCTGACTTTATGTATAAACTTTTCATGGAGAGTTCCATTCTTCAGTTAATGAGAAAATGGTACGTTTTGCATTCTAGATGCTAATTTGTCATAATTTCTACGTTAGAAAACATACTGGATATACACAAAGAAATTTGATTAAAATTTAAAAATGATGATATACTTCTTTAGTTTCCCTACAATAGTGCAAAATGATTGCCAATAAGTTTCAAGACATTTATGATTGCATTTCAATTGTTATTTATACATTGACCCAAAACACTATGAGATTCATTTATTCGTATTAAATATATCTATAAATATAGTGTAACAAATAATATTAAGATGCGATAATCATGGTTTTTCATTACATGGAAAAAAATAGAATATAGTACATATTCGTTTTTTAACTTCTTGCATGACTAGATTAAGGATTGTTTTTTCAAAGTTACATGTTAAAGTGATCTAATACTGTGACTTTGAACATTTCGTTCAGCTTTGAATGAAACTCGATCAAATTATTGTACGACGGAATTCAAGGCCAAGCAAAAATATAGCATCTTTCTGTGCTATATTCACATTAAATCGATTACTTATATCGTAACCACAAATCCGTGATTTTCAAACAAAGAATCAAAGTCACAAGTAAAGAATTAAAGTCGGAACTTTTGTTTAACGCCACAAACAATAAAAATATGAGTGCCATTCGAAAAACGTAGGAAACATTTAGTGTCAAGAAACAAAGCAAAAGATCACCTCAACAGTTGCTCAAAGAACAAAGAAAACAACCTAAAACCTGATGCAGCGTGATATCGCAAATAAAGAATTAGCGGCATTGATCATTTTCAAAGACGAAAGATAGATTAACCAACATATGTGCTTGTTATGGAGGAAAATAATTACCTGAGCGGCGACGAAGAGCAGGGCAACAATGGCGAAGGTCTTCATTTTGTCAGAAGGTGCGGTCTTCGATTGCTGCCCGACTTTTATACTAATTTGAAGTTGATTCAGTACGTCATAGTACTCGACTTGTTAAAACGTCATCCACTCAAAATCCTCAGATGCTTTTCAAACGATAACACTAATGTGATTTCTAGTACTATCTCTATGAATAAGATATAGATCAGAATTGCACATCAAGTTTTTGAATGAGAATTATCGAAGATAATTTTTTGCTTCTTTTATCTGACTGCGAGTAACGAGTGTGTTATGAGGTGATGAGTACCGTCTTTTTATTTCCCGTATACATACGTATATACGGAGTAATGTACATAGTATAGAAAAAGTTATGTAATGCTGCGTGAAAAAAAAGGCGGATTTTCCACAGAAAATAATTCATTGCTGGACCCTGATAAAGAAAAAGTTTATAAATCTCTTTGCTAAATTTGTCGTTGCAAAACGTCTATCTGTCTGTGAACACTACTAGCGCCTAAACTATACGTAGGATTTTTTCCAAATACAAGAAACCCCTGTCCAACTGGCTCGAGTCGAAGTTTTGAGATTTTTAAAAACATTATTTAAAAGTAGGTGGTACTTTACATGAAGCCCTCCGGACATTTTCAAAATTTTCTCAAAAACGACTTCAAATTTTTTATTAAAATTTCTTGTAATAATAGAGAAACATGCGCTAATAAAAATGGCATAGGTCCTATTTTTACAGTTTACTCTAAATTAACGAAAATTTCAAATGTAAGAATTTGTTTCGACAACTACAAAAATTGAATATAGAGTTTCTTCTTTCAAATTAAATTTGTTGTCTATAATTAGTTCTTTCATTAAGATCATGCTCATTTTTTGAAACTTTTTAGTAGTTTTCGTGCTATATTGTGTGCAATATTTGCAATTTAAAAAAGTACAAAAACAAGATTTTCTCAAAATCGCCTCAAAATATTCTTTTAAAATTTTTGATAGGGATAGTGCGAAATATAATCTATAATATGACATAAACGTCATATTGTTCAATTCTTTTGTTTATTCAAATATTACAAAAATGTAGTTTTTCGACTTGTCTCTCACGTCGTTAATACTCGTATGTATATTAGCGACAATTTGTTCACATTATTATATTTATGATTGCATGTATTCTAAATAATGTCTTATAAAGTTTCTCGAAAACTCTACTGTTTTATCTGAAAACTAGTTCAAAATTCCACATTTTCAGAAACGGTCAAATGCCATTTCCTCAAAAAACGGATCCAAATTTTTTCTTCAAAATTTTCGAACTGATAGTGCTAATTGCACTCTTTAATATAACCTAAATACAATTCGATGTATTTTTTATTTTTTCAAAAATTACACAAATGTTTTATTAAGATATCTCACACCGTTGATATGCACATTTCCAGAAAATTGTAAGAACTATTGTATTTGTGACTTAAAGTGCTTGAAATGACTTCATTAGAAGTTTTTCGAAAACTCAAAAGTGTTCTGTAAAAATGAGCTTTAAATGTCAAATTTAGAGTATGGCTTATACGTCATTTTCTTAAAAGCAGCTCCAAATTTTTTTTAAACATTTGCAATTTAGGACGAGGTTTTACTGTTCTTTAATATTCATAAAATAATTAAGAAAATGTCAAAAAAATGTACTTTGGGTGGCAATAGGTGGCAGCTGGCTAGACTATGTGACTAGCTGGCCAAGACCAAAGGAAGTAGAAAACTAATACGGGAAAGTCTGCCATTCTGGAGCACCACAAGTAATTCATTGCTAAACGAAACCACCGTAACGTTTCCGTAATCGATTGTTTGTTAATAACAATATGTTGTAAGTTAATGACGGGTAATTGAATCCAAATTTTAAACTTTTGTTAGAGTTCTGATATTAAATTGAAATTATACGAAACATAAAAAACTACTGATAGCAATATTATCCATTTTATTATTTATTATGATTTCAATATTTTTGCCATCATGCATTTAGAGATGTCACTCGTACCGCTTTTAAAACCTTCCGCTTAGTTCTGCCACTAGTTCAATGATTTATATCAATAGGTACAGTGTCAACAAAATAGTTAATATTAACTTCTATATTCACTACTGAAAATGTTAGGTGTCGGTTACATATAAAACCTACTCCAGGTTGCAAACATTTTCTGAAGAGAAGATCTCGGGACTTCGGGTGCCTCTACAAGACTTCGCGCGTAATACGGGCTGTTCCCATTACGGTTTCTTGTACCTCCCAATGTCTTGTACTTCTCAAACTTATGAGTGTCCTGAGAGTTTAGACAAATTCTTAAATATATTTTGCGGTAGGAATACCAGAGTCCCGTTAAATATTAAGGCAACTTCTGCTTACGTACAGCAAGCGGCGATATCTCGATTTCCAAATTCTTGTATTTAAGACGTTTTTCTGTCTCCTTGGCTAAGACGTTCTGATCGCATGGTGCAACGTCAACTAAACGAAATTTTTTCTCAAAATCAGAATAACAATTCTAAATAAGAGCTATCGTACTATCAGTTATAACTTGTTGGACGTGCAATATTTTACACAGTCCAATAGTAGCAGGCCTTGGTGAGGGTTCTTATGTGTTTGATACACTACTATAATTGAAGCTTTTCAGTTTCTTGTAAATATTTACTACGTGAGAGATATTAAAAATATACATTTGTGAATTTTTTACTTTCTCGTATACGTACGTGTATATGGAGTATACAAAAAGTTATGTAGTGTATTGTAATGAAAGCGACTGGACAAGACATCTTATCGACTTTTTTTCGCTCAAACAAAGTGACAGGGAATATCTTGTATCTTCAAAGTAATTCGTAAAGTGTTTTCCTGATTTCATGAATTTCCATCTGAAACCATATGTATTAGATGTCCTGCAATTCGTAATCTCTTCTGAATCGCTGAAATTATTAAAATAAACAGCACATAATAGCGAAAAACTGGTTTAATTTTCTCGTGTACGTACGTATAGAAGAAGTAATTACGTAGAATGGTTTGATTGATCCATCGTTAGTGGTTCCGGGCGTTCAACTACTAGGGTCACCCTGCGCGAACAAATACATAACAGCCATTGATTGATTGATTCATTGTTTAGTGATTCCGGAGACGTCATCTAACTGGGTCGTTAGTCCCGTAAGTGTAGTGCATTCTTGTACTCGGATGATGGCGGTGGTCTTTCCCCGCTGCACGGCGAAATCCGGCGCCGACCTACCCTGGGCTGACGAAAGGTTTCCCCCACAACCTGGTATCTCCCACCAGCAGGGCACCGCCCCAGCCGGGACAAGTTCTAAGCGCCCGACCGGTCTCCCGGCATGTGTGCTTGTGCAGTGCAAGTAAGTGTACGTGTATTTAATGAGTAGGATAGGACAAGGAAGAGGTAGGAAAGATCGTGCGCGGTCCGTGGCCCGTTTGTTAGGGTACTGCTCCGGCATTCACTGGTGTTGATCGGAGAAACCACGGAAAATACCCATCAGAGCAGCCGGCTGCTAGAATTCTCATCCAGCCAGCGACTGAATTCAACCTAACTGGCAAAGAAGTGTCGGAAATCCTGCCACAGTCGGGACTCGAAACTAGGTCTCCCGATCAGTGGGATTGCAGTGGGAAGTATGGAGAAAGTAATGTAATGCTGTGACAAAATGGCGATTTTTTGGTAAACTATTTTCTAAATTGAAATCTAAATGTCGAAAACGTTTTATTTCCAGGCGAACAAAAAATATCTAGTGGTGCTACAACAGCACATCCTCTTGCATTATTGTGAAGTTTGAAATTTATTGTAAATTCTGAGAGTATAATGCAAATTTGATTTTTCCGAATATCAGTTTTGGTAAAACGCCTACTTTCAATTTATCCGCTAGCATTGTTCACAGATTGACGGACAGACCAACAGACTCATAAACCAATATCTCTATTTCAAAGACCCATAAATCGTGGATTCTGTTTATTCAACGTGTTAGAAGTAGTATTTACCTCATATAAGAAAATGAATTTTCCACTTTTTCGGTATTAGGGACCTACAACTCTAATTTTTCTGCCAATAAATCGTTGTTTTCCTCTGCAAAATTTCATAATATACAGCGTATATAGAATGGGAGAAATTAAAATAAGTTTTTCTTCATGAGAGGACTCCAAAACGTATATTTCCGTAAAATCTCGAAAGCATCTTTTCCCAATATTGTATAAACTTTACTCCGTATTACTGTGTTTTGTAAGCATTCTTTTCATTGTGTCCATTACTTCATATATGCATACGTTTACCAGAAAAGATAAAGTTTTATTTTTTAATCACATGCATACACATATTGATATTTACTATTTACACTATGTACTCGATAAAACTACATACAAACGATGCAAGTTCATCAGATTCATTTTCATTGTCTCAGTGTTCAGCAATGTCAATTCTAAAGAAAACGCATATCTTTTCTACATTAAAAATGTTTGGTATAAAGTTTATCCCAGATTTAAATATTAATTAAAATTTACACTGAAATTTTCATTCTTTTCTTGCATCGGTATCTAATATACCCAGTTTATTTTTCCTCAGCCAACATGATGTATTTTAGAACATTTCTGTAGCTTTTTAGAGTACCTAGATTGTTCAATTTATTTCAAACTTCTGCATTTAATGATGCCAGATTTAATGTGGCTTATTTAAGCCATTAGATGGAAACGTTCATAAAATACGTGGGCGTCAATCAGGTCCCTCAAAATCAATCAAGACTAGAAAATAGTATGCTATTTTATAAAACAATGATGTTAATGAGTAATACAGGGGGTACAGTACTACAGTAATACATAATGCAGGGGAGCAAGTAAGGCAGGGGGTTAAACCTCAGATGAGTTTTGAAATGACTGCAATTGGTACATTTCATTTCGAAACAATATGCTACACATGGAAATCGAATCTGTAGTTCCTGCAAACGTAGCAAACAGTAGACCCTTTGTTATTTATCTTCCAGAAAAACACTCCACTTTCCAAAACAATGCACGAAAGTGACTAGACAAGTCAT